TTCATACTGCTGATAAAGTCACACCTGAAACTGGGCAATTTAAAAAAGAAAGAGGTTTAATTGGACTTACAGTTCCACATGACTGGGGAAGCCTCACAATCACGGCTGAAGGCGAGGAGGAGCAAGTTCCATCTTACATGCATGGCAGCAGACAAAGAGAAAATGAGGAATATGCAAAAGCACAAACCCCTGATAAAATCAGATCTTCTGAGACTTAATCACTACAATGAGAACAGTATAGGAGAAACCACCCCATGATTCAATTATCTCCCACTGGGTCCCTCCCACAACACATGAGAATTATGAGAGTACAATTCGAGTTTTGGCTGGGGACACAGAACCAAATCATATCAGGATTCAAATAAATAAATCCAGAGCTGAAAAAGAAGACATTTCGACTGATATAAATACAAATGATGTTAAGAGATTATTATTATTGTATACACTAATAAATTGAAAAACCTAGAAGGAATTAATAAATTTCTGGACAAATAAACTTACAAAATTTGATTCATAAAGAAGTTGAATATCTGAACAGAGCAATGAGTAACAAGATTGCATTGATCTACTACATATACAGTGCACCCTCTTAAAATACCAAGATTGAATCAGTAACAAAATGTTTCCCATCAAAGAAAAGCCCAGAACCTGATGGCTTTACTGAAAAATTCTACCAAACATTTAAAGGACTAATACCAATTATTTGCAAACTATTCCAAAAAAAAAGTTGATGAACAGTAAATTCTTCCAAAATCATTCTACAAGGCTAGCAGCACCCTGATACACAAATCAAACAAGGACACAACAAAAAAAGGAACGACAGGCCAATATCTCTGATAATCATATATGTAACAATCAGAAACAAAACACCAGCAAACCAAATTCAACAGCACATTCAAAAGGTCATTCACCATGACCAAGTGGGATTCATCCCAAGAATGCTAGGATAGTTCAATATATGCAAATAAATTAATATGATACATCATGTTGACAGAATCAAGTATAAAAATCATATGATCTTTTTAATAGATACGTAGAAAGCATTTGATAAAATTCAATACACCTTTATGATAAAAACTCTCCACAAATTGGGTATAAAAGGAATCTACTATACCTGAACACAATAAAGAACATGTATGACTAGGCCAGGCGCGGTGGCTCAAGCCTGTAATCCCAGCACTTTGGGAGGCCGAGACGGGTGGATCACGAGGTCAGGAGATCGAGACCATCCTGGCTGACACGGTGAAACCCCGTCTCTACTAAAAAATACAAAAAAAAAACCTAGCTGGGCAAGGTGGCAGGCGCCTGTAGTCCCAGCTACTCGGGAGGCTGAGGCAGGAGAATGGCGTGAACCCGGGAGGCGGAGCTTGCAGTGAGCGGAGATCCGGCCACTGCACTCCAGCCTGGGCGACAGAGTGAGACTCCGTCTCAAAAAAAAAAAAAAAACAAAAACAAAAACAAAAACAAAAACAAAAGAACATGTATGACATACACAAAATTAAGATCATACTGATTGAGAAAAAGTTGAAAGCTTTTCCTGAGACCTGGACAAGACAAATATGCTCACTTTTACCACCTTCATTTAATATAGTACCAGAAGCCCTAACCAAAACAATTAGACAAGAGAAGGAAATAAAAGGGATCCAAATTGGAAAGGACTTCACCAAAAAAAAAAAAAAAAAAAAAAAAAATAGAGCTAATAAATGAATTAAGTAAAGTTGGAGGATACAAAATCAACAAACCAACTCAAAAATTAGTAGTATTTCTGTATATCAAGAGTACACAATCTGAAAAAGAAATCAAGAAAAAAATGTTATTTATAAGAGCTACAAAAAATTAAGTAATACACCTAGGAATAAATTTAACCTAAAATGATCTCTAACATTAAAGATCTCTAAAATGAAAATGATAAAATATTTATGTAAAAAATTGAAGAGAATGTAAATAAAAAGATATTTTATGTTCATGGATTGGAAGAATATTGCTAAAATGTTTGTAGTATTCAAAGTGATATACAGATGCAAAGCAATCTACAGATTCAATGCAATCTCTCTTAAAATACAAATGACATTTCTCAAAGAAGTAAAAAAAAATCCTAAAATTTGTATGGAACTACAAAAGACTCAAAATAGCCAAAGCAACCCTAAGCAAAAAGAACAAAGCTGGAGGCAATCATACTATCTGCTTTAAATTACACTACAAAACTACAGTAACTGAAACAGTATGGTATTGGCATAAAAATAGACCAATGGAACAGAATAGATAACACAAAATAAATCTGCACACTTACAGGCAATTGATTTTTAATGAAGGCACCAAGAACATACACTGGAGAAAGGACAGATTCTTTAATTAAAAAAAAAAAAAAAAAAGCACTGGAAAAACTGAATATCCACATGCAAATGAGTGAAAATAGAACACTTATCTCTCATCAGACATAAAAATCAACTCAAAATGAATTAAAGACTTAAAAGTAAAACCAGAAACTATAAAACTGCTGGAAGAAAACATCAAAGAAACACTTCATGACATTTGTCTGGGCCAACATTTTTTGAATAAAGAACTCAATAGAACAAGTAACAAAAATAAAAATAGACAAATAAGATTATATCAAAACAACTTCTGCACAACAAAGAAAAAAATAAAGAGACAACCCACAGAATGGGAGACAATGTTTGCCAGCTATGTATGTGACAAGGGGTTAATATCCAGAATATATAAGAAACTCAACTCAGTAGCAAAAAATTTAAAAATCAAATTTAAAAATGCACAAAACCCTGAATAGACATTTCTTAAAAGAAGATAAACAAATGACCAAAAGGTACATGAAAAAATGCTCACCATCACTAATAATCAGAGAAATGCAAATCAAAACCACAATGAAATATCACCTCCCTGAAACTAGAATGGTTATTATCAAAAAGACAGTAACAAATGTGGCCATGGATGTGGAGAAGTGAGAATCCTCATACACTAGTGGTGGAAATGTAAATTAGTATAATCATTAAGGAAAATAGTATGGAAATTCCTCAAAAAAATTAAAAATAGAACTATTATATGATCCAGCAATCTCACTACTGAATATTTATCCAAAGAAAATAAAATTATGTTGAAGAGACATCTGCACACCCTTGTTTACTGCAGCAAGGTATGAAATAGCCAACGTATGAAATCGACCTAATGTCCACCAGTGGACGAATGGATAAAGAAAATATGATAAATATATACAATATTTATATACAACAGAAACAACACGGAATGCTATTCAGCCAGAGGAAAAAAATGAAATACTGTCATTTGTGGCAACGTGAATGAACCTACAGGACATTATGTTAAGTGAAATAAGCCAGGCACAGAAAGAGAAATAACCCATGATCTCATGCATTTGTGTAACCTAGAAGAGCTGATCTTACAGAAGAATAGAGTAGAATAGTTGTTACCAGAGGTAAGGCAGAATGCAGTGCGGGGGTATGTTGGGAACGGGGAAAAAATTGTTTAATGAGTATAAGTTAAATAGGAGGAATACATCCTGGTGTTTTATTGCACAGGAGGGTGACCACAGTTAATATTGTATAATCCAAAATAACTAGAAGAGAGAATTTGAAATGTTCTCACCACAAGGAAATGATCTATATTTGATGTACTGGATATGCTAGATACCATGACTTGATTATCATACAATGTATACTTATGTTGAAACATCACACTGTACTCCATAAATATGTACAATTATGTGTCTATTAAAAATAAAATACAACAAAAAATATGAATGCATAATACCAAACCACTCAATTGGAAGCCTGGATATAAACATTTAGGGAAAATTCTTAGCCGTAGACTACAAATTTCCCAAACTCAGGGATCACTACTCTCTTGGATTTTATTCTATTCTCAGTGTCAGAAGCATGACTAGCATACAGTAGACACACAATAAATATTAGTTGAATAAATTAATATTGATTAAATTAGACTTAAAGAGTTTAATTTGCATCCAATTAGTTCTTTATTTGAAATGGAGTGCAACCTTTTTTAGAGCCTTCCCTTTAATATAACCATTGAAAAGCTTTTGACTAGGAAATACAGACAGATTCTCTGTCCTCACACTCTACATGAATTATGCACCCATAGTGCTCTGCCACCACTTTGCATGACCTTAGGCTAATTGATTATTTTTGAGTCTCCCATTTTCCATCTGTAGGATGAATATAGTAAAAACCTGTTTGCCTGCCTGTCAGGGTTATTCTGAGATTTAAACAATATAATGGGAGGTAAAAGCACTTTGTACACAATAATATTGTCTACAAATAAAAGAGATTAACAATTAAAGACAGGTTTAAGGTTTCGGAATGCATTATACACAACTGTTATTAGCCTGAAAAGATTTCTATAAACATCCTAAAGCTCCAGGCTCAGAGGCTACTGTTTCCAATGTCCAACTGTACATGACATATCATAATGGTGATTTATTTAAGATTGGAAAATTGCATATGTTTTCACTTTTATCTGCCATATTTAGCTGAACAATGCTTCCTATTGATTCGTGGCATCGAAGTCACTTCCTTTCTTCAAGCATGACATTTGCTATTATCTCTTTGTAGGCACAGAAATCTAAAAGCAACACCATAAAAAAAAAAATCTAAAAGCAACACCATAAAAAAAAAAATACAAACCTCACAGCTTAAGTATTGATTTAAAACACACTTGGTTCATTAAAAACACTGCTGGGATTTGAAGCACTTAGAGGTAATCTTTTCTCTTCCTCAGCATTAAAAAATATAGTGATTTATAGATCTTAGTGACTCTCAGGAGGAGTTAGTTGTTATTTAAATGTGTACTGGATTAAAAAAAGAAAAGATTATGAGTTAAAAAATACAAATTTCCCCTTGCTCTACTGAGTACCAAAGTATGGCAAAGATAATTTTTCCTTAATAATACTGACACATGTCGTTAATGTTTGTATAGACTTTTTAATAAGAGGTCTTATGTCATGTATCCTGTACCTCTGTCTCATCCTAGAATTTCTTGTTCCTCCTCCAAAAGGGACAAGGTCAGGAATGTAGCAGGGCTGAGGCAGAGCACTCACTAGCTTCTGTCTTCAGGGATCTTCCCAGAGAGGGGAAATCTGTGCTCCTGTCAAAAGGAAATATGTGTCCTAATTGCAACCAACAACGTTGTGTTCCTCCGTCCAGCTAGGTGTCATGGTGGTGGGAGGAAGAGTCGGGAGTCATACGATGACTCAGACCCTTTCCCCTCCTACAAGGGCATTCAGCTAACACACAACTATAAATAAAGGGTAATAAAAGAGCTATCAATTGAAAAGGATTCTTAAACTTGCTTAAAACTCTTTAATATTCTTGCATTCATGTGTTTAGCTCTCTATGATTTAAAAAACTAACTCCACACATCAGTGATGTTAATCTTCAGTATTAACATACATCCATCACAGTTTTGGCCACGTGCATGTATCGACTATACTACTATCTTCTTGATTATTTTACGTGACAAATGTATTTACTTAAAATGTATTTTAAAGGAAGTTTTAAATCTAACGTACTTTATCAATATAAAGCCTTTAGAAGTAAAAATGGAACAAAAACCAAACAAAAATTCCTACTCCTGCTTTGTTACAATTGCCTGTGCTAAAGCCATTTCTCTGTGTCCTTTTATAAAGTGTAGTGATAGAAAAGTGTTAAGAGCAATAAACAGTATCAAAAATACTTGATCTTGGTTACAGGATTGAGAGAGAATTTAAAATGGAGTTATGCTTTGTCATTGCTGTGTGACCTATTGTCCATCTACCACCTTAAATATTTCTCTTACATCCAGTGATATTTTTCTCATCTTCTGGGAAACACAGCAGTGCTGTATTTTTTGGTCATGTATCTCTTGAGCTGTATAACCTCCAATTCTTGTGCCCCTACTTGAATGGATAAAGCAGAAACATGACAAACATGTTATATGCAGGCAAAATATCCAAAGTGAGTTTTTAAATTTTTGCTTACATTTATCGATTGTACTGTCCATAACTGAGAAACTACATGTAACAAAGGTCTTACGAACATAAGGGAATTTAGACTTTTAACCCAGAATGAACTAACTCCCCCAGCACCCCCCACCAAAAAACAAAACAAAACAAACAAAAAAAAACCTTGGGTGCAGAAGCAGTGTGCAGTACTTCTCAAATTTTTACATGCCTATAAATCACCTGCCAATGTTGATAACATTCAGATCTGGGTGAGACCTAACATGTTTGCATTTCCAACATGCTCTAAGATAATGCAGTCACTTACAGTTAGTGGGCTGCACTTGAGTAGCAACTTAGAACAGGTTCTCAATTCAGGTTCTGGACTTATCCATTGAATCACAGCTTCGCTATTGTCTGCTTGTATGAATAGAAACAACATATTTCAATGCTTGCAGCCTATTTACTTATCTGTTAAATGGTATAAGAAGTGGGAGAGCCTATTTAACTGGACTGTGGTGGACAACAAATGAGTTCCTATACAGAAAGCACATTGAAGTGTATCTAATACTTATAAAACCCTTAATAAATAAATATCAGTTCTTATGATGAAGCCACAGATGAGGATAACAAATTTTCAGGAGTATTGCATGGTTCTTTGAACAAAAGCTTTGTTACTACATGGGAAGAATTCAATTACCAACAAGTCTCAGAAAACGCCTGCAGTATATCATCGCTATACTTTGGATATTTGATCCTCCAAACCTCATGTTGAAATTTGATCCCCAGTTTTGGAGGTGAGGCCTAATGGGAACTCTTTGGATGATGGTGATAGATCCCTCATGAATGGCTTGGTGACATCCTCACAGTAATGAATGAGTTCTGCCGCTCTATCTGTTCCCATGAGAATTTCCCCAAAAGCTGGCTGTTAAAAAAAGCCTTCCACCTTCCCCCTCTCTCTCAATATGCGATCTCTGGATAGTCTTATCTCCTTCTTCCCATTATGCCCTGTATCATATATTTTTAAGTGAGATATTTACTCTCTTGATTCTCCAATTATTATGTGTTACACATCTTGAGCTGTATCATCAGTACCAGGGGAGAACTGTAATTTAAGTGTTCATCTCACTGCTTCACACAGTGACACTACATACTTGAATGAGACTCAGAAACTGAAAAGATATATGCAGGTTTACAATATCCTCCTTTTTCCTCTTTCAGAAAATTTTCACTTATCAGTAATATAATAACATTTAGCTATCCAGCACTCAATATATATTAAAGGACTTCTACTTTGAAGAATTGGTAAAAGGATGCAAAATTTATCCATTACTCACAATTAGTAATTCTCATATCATTCACAGAATAACTTTTCGTATGCCATGTTAAAAAAATTGTGTACTCTATTATGCAATATGTCTGTGTTCACATATTTTTAAATAAAAACATTTTATATTAATTATTATAAAATATTTTTTCAAAGTTTCTTACATCTTCCTAATTAATGTACTTTTTAATGTGCCTACCACCTGCAGGAATGACTGGAGAAAACCCCACATTGCATATCAGATTGTTATGACAGGCAAATTTTCTCCTTGGCCAATATTTTGGGACATCAAGTTTAATCTTAAAAAACTGTTTCTTACTATTTTAAATTTTATTTTATATAGTTTTATGTTAATATATTGCCATTTTTAAAATCAAGAAGCATTTAAACAATCTTTATCACCTTAAAATTGTAATTGATAGCATTTTTTCTTTATATTGTGATATAGAACATAGTATTCCTTAAAAGTAATGTCACTTTAGACACAGTATAATTTTAGTATATGGGAAAAAATGGCAAGAGATTTTTACCAGTTGATGAGTAGGTTAATGTGATCACAGAGGAGAACTACTCAGAGCACTGTCAAAAAGGTGGCATAAAACAGATGATCACTAAAGGAAATTTTAATGTGCAACTTCTTGTTAGACAGTGAAGCTGCAAAAAGTTGCTAAGAGTGTCTAGGATTCATTGCTTAGTCACTTTGACTATCTCATGTAAATATTCTCTAAAGGTTTTTTCCAAATGAAGAGGGAAGAGTGCCGCTTCTAATTCTGGCTATAATAAACTAGCTTATATCAGTCCAACCCCTTCACCAATAACAACATAAAAAATGTTGAATATGTATTAAAAGCATCAGTTTGAAGGCATGGGATAGCTACAAAGATATCCAAACTTATAGCCAAGGTCTTAAAGAAAAATGCAGAGGGACAATCTGACACTTTTTGTCTTGAAGCATTTGTCCTTGTACATCTTTTGTCCTTGAAGCATTTGTGAGCGCATTAGTGATATATGCACCACTGAGTAGCTTTTAGCAATTTCAAGGGGCTTGGAAGAAAAAAAAAAATAGAGACTATCAATGAGGTAAGGGCATGGGAAAATCTCCAAATTTTCAATTGAGATGCTTGAAAGTTTACACCAGAGAATTAACAGAGCGCCAGGAATAGAGAGTCTTTACAATGACAAACTCAACCTCAAATAAATTTAATCTATGTTTGGCTTACATAATATTCTCCAAGTCTAACTACTGCCAGAGGAAAGGGAAATTCCCCACTGAAGAAAGATAACATCTTCAAAATACTCAAATTATGTATGTAACCTTTTATATATGATACGCTGCATTCAATCAAACACTGCCTGACGCATCAGCCAAAAATACCAAATTACCACAAACAGAGGTAAAAAAGAAAGACACCTATAGAAGATTCCAATATTGGAGCTATCAAGCATGGACTTCAAAATAGCTATGGTTAATATATTAAAGAAAACTGAGATATATAAGGTTAAGTCAGCATATACCTGGGATCTACGAAGCAGAATTACTGTGAAAACCTTGGAAAATCCAGAACTGAAGAATACAATAAATGAAATATCAAAAATAAATAACTCATGAATTTGACAGCATATTAGACATAGCTCAAGGAAGGATTCGCTGGAAGATAGGTTAGTAGGCTAGCTCTAAAGCATAAACCACACACAAAAAATCAAAATACAGAAAATAAATGTGTACACAAAACTATAAAACCTTATTGTGATATATAAGTAATTCATAAACAGTTTAACAGAATTTCATGCATTGAAACACTCAATAATGTAATATTAATTTCTGCCAAAGTGGTATATAATGTCAATGAAATTTTTCTTTGCATTTGACAAACTGATTTTTTAAATGATGTGAAGATGCAGGGAGAAAATAGCCAAACAATATTGAAGAAAAATAAATAGTGTGTACAATAATCTTAATGTGAGTTACCATTCACAGTCTTTTTTCATACATATTTTACCTCTACTTTTCTCAACAAATGAGCCTTTTGAAGAATAAATTATTATATATCCCATATTTTTCTTTACCAAGTAATATATCCTCTCATTCTGTAAATTTTCATGTTTTCACAGATATCATTGTTAAAATATATCAAAACCTAACATAATGGACAAATAATTCATATTAATATTGGTCTTAGCCTATTGATACTACAACAAAATACCATCAACTGTGTAGCTTATAAGCTACTGAAATTTATTTCTCACAGTTCTGGAGACTGGGAAGTCCAAAATAAAGGACTTAACAAAATCAGTGTTTGTTGAAGGCCCATCTCCTGGTACATAGAGGGCACCTTCTTGCCTTACGTTCACATGATGGAAGGAGAAAAGCAGCTCTCTGGGGCCTCTTTTATATGGGCACTAATCCAACTCATAAGGACTCTGCCCTTGTGACTTAATCACCTCCAAAAGACACTGCCTCCTAATACCACTACATTGATAATTAGGTTTCAACTATGACTTTTGGGGAGACACAAACCTTCAGACCACAACAATGATATAATCCAACCATAAAATACAGTCAAATTCACCATAGTTTGTCATTTATTTTTACATAAATATTTCCCACCACATTCAAATTGTAATTAAATAGCATTATTTAGTAAGAATGTTTTTCAGTTTTGCTGCCTCTTTCTGACCCAAAACAATCTGATCATTTCTACAATAGTTTAATTATATCTAGAGTAATAACGACCTAAGAAAATATGCTCATTTACGAGTCTAGAATGTAACCTCCTTATGTAGTTCTACGGCTAACCTTAAAATAAGGTTCAAGCAATTTTTATTTGCTATTTGGCTGTTGTTATTGTGGTATTGTGCTCTATAAATAATACGTTTCTCTTTTTTTCTATAAAATCTTCTGGTGAATTTCATTTAATTGTCCATAATTACCATGCACCTACTACAAAAGACACCCGAGTTCTGAGCATCCCCAGTTTGTAGCCCTGGATTACATTAGATTTATGATTGATAAGCCTTATCAGTTAAACTAAGAAAATAACCCTGACATACTTACTCCCTTCCGGAGATACTCCTAAACTAATTGGAATAAATGAGAATATTTGTTACTTAGGTAACTGAAGTACATAAAGGAGAAATTTAATGTTTTAAAGTTTATAATTACAGTTTAAAATATTTAAAGTTAATTAACGTTATAAATTTATGAAAAGGATCAAATGTCAATCAAAATTCCCCTTAAAAAAGATTGTTCATATTTGCTAGACTTACAATCAAAATAGCAATATTTATAAGCTATGCTTAAAATCTTAAGAAAAAAACTAGCTTCTTTATTAAATCAACTATAAATATTTAAGATCAAATTTGATCTCTGAATAATTTTTTGTGTCTGTGAAAGCCACCTTTGAAGGCACCAAAACCTCACTTTAGCAATAAAAAACTTAAAAGTTTATGAGGTTTTCTTCATAATCACCATTTGGATTATTGGTAATTCTCAACAAATCTTATCAATTATTGTATGGCTTTTATTGTGCCTCCTTTGGGAAAAGAGGCATGCAATTGATCACATGCAACTGATTACTTGGTGATCTTCACTAGATATGGTATGAACTATGAAAACTATTACGTTGGTAATGACAAAGGAGCACACATTCATCAATATGAATAAAGTCACTCAATCTGTCTAATAACTGGGGGTCAGATCTTTTCAATGCTACCTTTGTTATACTTAAATTTCAAACATTATATAATACATATTTAAACTTATTTTTCTCTGTGTTGTGATTAGAATGGTTAGAACCAAATGTCTATAGACTGCCCAACCCTAGAGAATGTCTTTAATATTGCAGTTTATACAAATACTGCCACCCAAGATTAGCAGCTTGGTCACTATTATTACTATAGTAACTTTTCCAAAAACAGTACAGTTTCAAGAAAACTTTCATAAAGTTGCCAAATTTGCTTCCTGTAGTTCATTTGAAATGTTAATTTGTCCACCTAGCACATTTTAATTTACTAGTACAATATTTTATTTTTGATCTCTCAATAGCATGCTGTTGTAACTACACATTTTTTTTCACAGCAAAGTGAATTTAGGA